GTTTAACCACACGCTTTTTCACAGGTTACAGCCAAAAAAACCACAGGGCCCCAGAGGGGAGCCGAGTTTCTGCCGCTTTAAGCTCAACACATCTAATAATATGTTAAGAATGTGTTTAATTTCTGAAGGGGAAAAACACATGTCGCACACCACTGTGGCGGATTAACTTTTAATGTGAAATATTTAGCTGAAAACGCGTTCAAACAGCTGCTAAAGTCTAAAGTCTGCACGGTCATGAGTCACCGTTTTGGGAACTAAACTCTGGTAGCAGCAAACAAAAAGAAAAGCTAGATTTTTTTAGTTTTTACCAATGACCCAGATGCTGTTAAACTACCAGGTTTCACACTGGAGATTCAGTCCACTTTATTTTATTTCATTATTTTTACCTTGTCCTGTTCAGCATTATGGCAGAATTGTGCAATGCTGAACAAAATTGCTTTGGAAAGGGAGGCTTTGTTAGTGAGAAGCCCCCATCTATTACCCAAAACTTCTTTATTTATTCATTTTTTATGCCAAACTTACATGTGTCTAATAATGCCGAACCTGACAGAGGGACAGGGAAGAGAGGAGAGCAGTGGAAAGGAGAGAGATCCTTTAGAAAGAAAGAGAAAGGGGGGAAAAAAAGAAGAAAGAAACACAACAAGGCTCCACCCCCCACGTAACCCTGAATTGGAATAAGTCGACATAGAAAACAAACAGATGTTTCTATTAACTTGCTTTAAAGGGATGAACTGTGATTTCTCAGCCGACAACAATCAAAAAGAGGAAGAAACAAGTAGAGTAGAACTGGTAAAAGCAGGTAAAAAGGACGAGATACTTCAGAAATTACTTCTAATTTCTAAAAAAAGTATCTACAGAAGCTTATATTGTCTGGTTATGGTTTCCTGGTCCAGACCAGGAACAGATGGTGAGACACACCATTTTCTTTTTTTCTTTTGGATCAAATGTGATCCTTAAAGGTGTTACCTGTCATTCTCCAAAACAAACATCAAGTCCTCTTTGACACTGAAAAGAAGCTTCTCCAGTGAGAAGTGTTTTCTGATTAAAAACCTTTTTCAGAGGCTGTTCTGAGAGAGTTCCCTCTAAACCTTCTGAGCCGTTTTTACACCAGCTCGTGATTGCCGTCAGCGGGGTGAGAAAGATGCCGCCTTTAGGTAAAGACAAACGCGGTCGTTAGGCCGTACCTGATCCGGGCGTGGCCTCGCCCCCCTCCGGCTGCTCTGGGGAGTCCTCATCTCCCGGGTCAGCGGAGACGGCCTGGAAGAGGAAGATCGAGGAAGAGGAAGAGTGAAAACCAGCTGTAAACTGGATCCGTTTACAGAGACTGAGAAGCTTTAAACCTTCAATTCATCAAAGTAAACCCACTTTGGGTGTTCTATTACTAGACATTTTGAATGTGACTTTGTGGATTAAGCTAACAAATTTGATTAAAAAAAAACATTTTTAATTAATTAGCCACCTAAAGAATGCAAAATGTTCAACTCAATTTCAATTAATGGCTTCACACATGCATGAACTTTGAATAGTAACTAAAATAAATACCAAAAATATTCATCAAATGCTTTCGATCTAAGTACTGTAAGTAAATAAGTAAATAATCAGCTAAAAAAATGTTTTTTAAATCACAATTCAAAGTAAACCCACTTTGGGTGTTCTATTACTAAACATTTTTGAATGTGACTATAAAAAATTAAGCTAACAAAGTAGATCAATGTGAACAAAAAAAACATTTTTAATCAATTGGTCACATTTAACAAAGAAGGCAAAATGTTCAACTCAATTTCTTTCAATGGCTTCACACATGCATGAACTTTAAATAGTAACTAACTTAAATACTAAAAATATTAATGAAATGCTTTCGATCTAAGAACTGTACAACAATTAGAGAAAGTAAATAATCAGGTAAAAAAAATGTTTATAAGGTTAAAAAAGTAAAATAATCAAACTTTGCTCTTTCTAACAATGTTTCTAATTGAAAATCTGAATGACAAAAAAAGAAACATTTTAAAAAAGTTTTGGCACTGAGTTACAAATGTGTTTTGCAAGAATGAATCTGGTCTGTAATCGGACGGCTGGATGATAGAAGTACTTAATAGTTTCATGTAACTCTAAAGTTCAGTTTTTCTGCTTTACGCTGGGAGATTCATTTTCCAGATGCTAGAAGTTCCAGTAATCAGAAGCAGACACGCTGGATCCAAAGGAATAATCGCTAACGAGCTAACGAGCTAAGGTCCAACCAAACACATTCCTAATAAAACGGGGGGTTACCTCTGTTTCTGCGTTTTCTTCCATTTCTGAGGGCTCCACCTGGCCGGCCTCCTGAGAGGAAGAAACTTTTTCTGGAGCTCCATCCGAAGCCTCGGGGGGGTCAGCGGGAGCTGGTGTTTCCTAAGAAGAGACAATTAGAAGAAACCAATTAGAACAAAACAATTAGAAGAAAACAATTAGACGAAAACACCATTATTTCCCGTTTAACGCACAGAAATTTGGGTCTCCTAACGACATTCTGAGAGTAAAATGGGAAGATTTATAACCAAGTTTTTGTCTCAAAAGACAGATATGTGCATCACTCACAGCCACTTTTAAGCTGTAGCTCTGATTAGTGGCGCTTTGTTCAACAGGAGTGAACACGACGCACCTTTTCTTTAGAGAAAAACACATTTTTTTACCAAAACATCTCACGTGGAAGCCGGGGGAGCTGCCACTGGTCGGCAGAAAAGCAGGAGTGACCGTTCGATTAACTGTCTTAAAAACATGTTTCTTTCATTCGTCACAGTTTCCAGTCTTTAGTTTTATGGTCAGTTTAAAAATTGATGCAATGCTCAATATACATAATGAACCAAGTGAAGGCTGAAGCAGGTTTTTCTATAAACCAAAACAAAGAGGAAAACAGTCCCATGAATAAGCTCAAATTAAACTCACGACAAAGAAAACATACAAACCATATATATATTTTTTTATTATATTATTATTTTTATTATATATATTATATTAATTAGGTGTTTCACGACCTAATTAATATAATTCATGTAACAAAAATCACTTTAAACATAAACGGTTTAAACAGTTTTAGTCTCACATTTGTGAGCTGATCAGCTAGTTAAGGAAAACAGTCCAAACTAGAGACTTTTTGGTGTCAGAATTCTCATTTCCATCATTTTTCCACATGACTTCCACAGTACTTTGGTCAGAACTGCAGCTGTAAATGTGCTCTGATAAAGTCATAAATCATCTTTCTGTTTAACTGTCAAATGGAGTGGTCGCACATCAATAAGTCCCCAGATTCCTTTATATCTCCCGAGTTATAGACTCGTGTTTCAGTGGGTTTTAACTCCAGTTATCAGCAGAAATGCAGCGCCTCCTGTTCATTAGACACAAAAAACAGAAAACACCTCCTCTGCTCAAAGCCCCGAAGTAAATACGTTGCAGATGTGTCGAGTCTGGGTTCAGAGAAAAGAGGCTTTGTTTGCAAAAGAGTCCACAAAAACAGACATTTCTGCTTCTTCCTGAGGAGGCCGGTGGAGGAGGAGGGCAGAAAGGCAAAAAATGGGTCACATCCTGTAGACACGTTTAAGAGGAGGCGGTGAATAGAAAATAAACTCTTTAAATATTAATGGAAAAGGAACA